TATTAAAGTAAACAACCCTTAATTATATTGAGTTACCTAATGTTGGGCCATGTTGGGGCATTGGGGCTGATTGTGCAAAGACTCCTTCATTTAAAAAACAGTAAAACCTAATGTGTTTTATTTTATTAATTTTCACAGATTTAAATTTGAATTCTTACTATATTGGACTTAAGTAAATTTAATGTATTAATTTAATTTCTTTATCCTTCTTAAAATGAATATTCAATTTTATTTTTCTTGATCAACACAATACTATTTATTACAGAGGATATAATTTTTGATGTCCATTCTAGATCAACACAATACTAACTTCAAATGTGTTACAGAAGGATCAAATTTATATTTACAAATATTTTTGCAAAACCTTTTGAGTGAGAAGTATATTATTGTTATTTCTTAGAGTTGTACTCCGTATAACTTAATAATAAAAGTGTCATGCGGAACTTTTTATTAAGAAGATTTTGAGGGGTGTTGGTACTATGTGCATTAGTGCATATACTGATATACGGAGTATTAAAATTTTAATCGAATTTTACAATTAGAACTAATATAAATAAAAGTACTAAAAGCATCTAAAAATGACGACCACAGTGGGAGTCGAACCCACGACCTTCTGATCCGAAGTCAGACGCGCTAATCCACTGCGCTATGCGGTCAATTTGTTTAAACATTGATGGTTTTGTTATATGGAACTAAATAAGTACTATCGACGGTTCGATTAATGTGAGCCTTACCAATTTCCTTATAATCGGAAACCACCACACGGAGTACAGTCAGTATAGTATGCCGGTTCTTTAATTCTTTGATTTCTTGTAATAATTTGACTTTCACGTTTGTCAACGTACAATTTTGACTGTAATTATATTTAATTATACTTTAGTAAACATTATAAAAATTGGTATTTTGGAAATTCACATTGATAGGAATTCAATAGCATTTTATACGTAATAATTTGATTATGTATATTAGTAGAAAAATGGGGTCAAAGTAAGCTATGTGCATAGTGCAAAAATCACAATGTTGCAAGAATTAAAGAACGGAGGAATGATCGAAGTACTTCTTTTCATTTTGGACTTTGGAGTGAATGAGTTTTCTTATTTCTATTTTAAGGAATTTTTATTGCTTTATTCTTTTAACAAAACTAAATAAATTGTGTTTTGATAATAAACCATATTAAGTCATAGTTTGGAACTTTATTTTATGTTTAATTTTATACTTTTATATACTCCTATTATTTGAACAATTTCTGTTAGTAATATAATTTTTTAGCTTGCCATCTATTTATGAATTATCTTATCACCCTCATTAATTAGTTAATTTGTTTCTAGAGGCACTAATTTTGTGTGTGATAATTTTATATGTAAGGCCGGGGAAATTGGATTTTGGCTCATCATCGATCACATTGTTGAATTGTTTTTTATTTTTTATTTTTATAAATATCATTCCTTAATTGGTAAGTGATATATCCTTCTGTCCCACAAAACTTACATAATTGGGAGTATGTAAGTTTAGTCACTATCGAATATCGGTTGCGTCAATAATAATGTAGCAAATTAAACTTAGTTTTTGTTAAAAGTGTCCTCATATCAAAATTGCGTGTAACAAGTTGAAATATCACCCCCTCATTGAAGATTATTTATGTGGTGTGAAGAATGATCGATTACTATAAACCTAATCGCAATCACAAAATACAAATAGCATCAACCAAACTTGAATTAAAGACAACCATTAACAATATATACAAGAATTTGTAAATGTGCAATCAACGAATAGAATTCGCTAATTCACCTACTCGAAGAAAAAACGATGTGAAATGAGGTCTACGGGAGAGAGGGCAATGGTAATATGCATTTTCATTTTTTTCCGACGCGCAATTTGCCTCTTAAGAATGATGCTTTTACTTGGACTTATTTCAGTCCAAAAAAAGACTAGATCATACGTAGTATCAGATAATACCACACCAATACAGACCGGCGATCAAATCAAAGCAGAGCAGATCAGACTTGGACATCTATAAAATACACAAAGATTAGATCACAAAATTTTTGTTTAAATAAAAACATCTAAATAAAATGTAACAACTCAATTGGGGGGAGCTAGTTGCGGCAAGTGGGCAACGACTGTACTTTGAGATGGAACATAGGAAGGGTGTGTGAAATGTGAGGTAGAAAATGAGATAAGATATGCTTGTATAGTTGTATATATGATTAGCTCAGCTGATCATGAAAATAAAATTTTGATACCAGTAAATGATTAAGAATTTTTTTATAAAAATTTAAAGAGAAAATTAACAAACGTATGAGTAAAAGTGGGAGAGTTTCCCAAAGTATGACTAAGGTAGTTTCTTTCCCTAAATTATGGGTAAATGACATGCTGAATTTTCAGGTTTTAACAGCAATTACTTCATACGTTCATGTATGACATGTCCTATTTAGTCATACGCTAGACACAAAAACAATTATAGTCATACTTTAGAAAAAGTCATAGGTTCGAGTATTATTGAGGTATTTTTCCCGCGGAGGTAGTATGTAGTACAAAACTTTGATTTTAGGGGTTGAATTTGATAACAATCAATAAGGTATATTACCACTTATATTACTCTTATGACTGAATATTATCTCATTCAATTGGTCCATTTAAACATTTACTTTTCTCGTTGAATTATCTGATCTTGGTGAAGACGGCTTTTTTAAATTGGGAAATTGAATGAGATAATATCCAGTCATAAGAGTAATATAAGTGGTAATATACCTTATTGATTATTATCAAATTCAACCCCTAAAATCAAAGTTTGTACTACATACTGCCTCTGCCCCGAAATGTTTAGCCAAATCTTAAAATTTGGACCATGATTTTGATCAGTATAATATTATGAAAGTTATAAATTACATACTTTTATTAACGTACTTTTTAACAAGGAACATTGTCATATCATTTTTATATTTTTTTTTGTCATATCATTTTTATATTGTAAATAATTTCTGATTGATATATATTATTGGTCAAAGTTTTAGATTTGACTCATTATTTTGGGGCGAAGGTATTATTTGATAAAAAGGTTGAGTGATAGAGACAGGGAGCATTATTCTGATTATTATCATCAAATTTAATTTAATACATGCTTATCTCCTTAATTAATTTATGAGAAGCATGATCTAAATCGAGCACCATATATATATGTCTATCTACTTGAATGGGGAATTGAGATGGAGTCCATTACTTCCTCCGTTCCTTTTTATTTAGCCAAATACTATTTTTCAGGTCAATCATGTTGAACTTTGACCGATCATATAATGATACACGGTAATATTGATGACATGAAAATGCTATCCAAATGTTCTTTGTTAAAAATAGTATCATAAAAGCATATATTTATGAAATTTCACATAAATATATTAGCTAAAATAATGGATCAAAGTTTATCATCTTTAACTGTAAAACTCTTTGGCTAAATAAAAAGTAAGGGAGGTGGTATTATTTGGCATAAGGGTCAGTTTGGTCTTCGAAGTTGCAAAAAAGGCGTCAAATAAGTCCTTATATAGAAGATTCTGTCCGGACGTGCCATTTGAGGTGGCTCCCGGTGGAAATTTGTGATAATTTTTTTGAGCATCTTATTCATTAAGTCTAGTTTACTCATACCATATTTCAGCTAAAAATTCAATCGGGAAGACATTCAAATGAATTCTTGAAGATAACAGCGTTTTTAACGGCACAGTTATCTTCAAGAATTCATTTGAATGTCTTCCCCATTGAATTTTTATCTGAAATTTGGTATGAGTAAACTAGACTTAATGAATAAGATGCTCAAAAAATTTCATCAAAAAATTCCACCGGGAGCCACCTCAAATGGCACATCCGGACAGAATCTTCTATATAAGGACTTATTTGACCCTTTTTTTGCAACTTCGAGGACCAAACTGATCCTTATCCGGTTATCCCGGTATTATTTTGTTGAGGGGAGGAACATGCATGCATGCATGTGGCTGGCCAAAGCTGTCTTAATGGGATGGCTTGAATTGATTGCATTGGATGGGAAGCCCATATCATGCCCACGCACAATGCCGCATATACATACAGCCAAAATCACAATGCACAACACGTGCAAGAACTGAGGTTGGGGAGCCGGTGGGTATCTAGTAGGCACCGTTACCCCTCCTCACCTCCCTACACAATAAATTTCCTTCTATTCGATTCCTGTCAAAGTCATTTTGACTAATGAAGCACTTCACCGTTTAAGATCATTCCAAAAGGTGGAATCTCGCACCCTAGGAGTTCCCACATCCCGACCTGACAGAATGACATATGAGTATGTTACGGAGATTCAGTCGGCTCAATAATGATAGATCTTATATCCGTGCGCACCAGAGGTCTAGCCCAACACGCAAAATTCATATATTGGGGTGGCCCTAATATTAACATTCGTCAAAATTCATAGAGTATTTGATACGATTATACAAATATGTCAAATCCGTTTCAAAGGCATTTTGTAATGAGTTATTTGGATTGAAATAATTGATCAACCTTTGATAAATTCGTGTAATCCCATTATTTTTTGTAATGTATGTAAATTCCCATTACAAATTGGCCCTCAACTTAATTATATTTGTGGGTCAATTTAAATCATGTACGTAATAGCACTTAATCTCCAAACATTTCAATTTTTTCACTCAAATATTTTATAAATAATTCGATTACATATAGACTAAGTTAACCAATGATTATGTTTATGTCTGTAATATCGATGAATACAAATTCAAGAAATTAAAATAGGATGTTTTTATTTCTTGGACTATTTTCACTTCCAGGTCAGATCAGACCTAACCAGAATTAAACAGATCAGATCAAACCAAACTTTCGTAGTTATAAAATAAACAAAGATCAATCATTTATCAGATCAAATCATTTCAAACCATACCAAATCAAACTGAAACAGACCAGACCAAGTGTGCAAATTAAAACATTTTGAACTTTGGAATTATATAAAAGCCGGTTACTACAAACTCGATCGGTCCACGTACATTATTTTTCATATTTTCAGATCTTCAACCATTTTTTCCCTCACGTACACAAAAGAAGAAGATCGGAGATTGGCCGGCCGGAATCTTTTTCATATATCCGGCGTGGGAAATAAACTGTACTAAGGGAGAATTATTGAAGGTTCGGTTCTGATTTCTGAAAAAAAAAAAGGAAGAAATATAATGGAGGATGAGGCGTTGAGAGTAGGGAGGTCATTGGAGGGAACTCCGACTTGGTCAGTAGCTACCGTCACCACTGTCATGGTTTTCCTTTGCTTCTTCGTAGAACGCTCCATTTTCCGCTTTGGAAGGGTTAGTATATATATATATATATATATAAACTCGATCTCTACAATTCTAGAGTTTTACTTTCACCTTTCTCAACATTGAAAGTCAATGTTAAAAAAATGTTACTTCCAATACTGCAAAAGTCATAGTCAAAGTAATGCGTATGAATAGTACAAAAATACTAATGTTGCAACTTTTAAAGAATTGAATGAATGAGGTATTAATTACTAATTAAGACTTGACGTTTCATCCTTAATCAAGTATATGGTGTTAAATAATAATCAAATCATGATCGTATTTGACTTTAGCTCATATCATATTACGATTTGTGATTTCATCCTAAAAAGTATAAGAGGAGTAACCCGGCTCATAACTTATATGCACATAATATAATGTTTTATCACTTTATATCAATCCGGTAAATTGTACTACGTATTTCAACATTAAGTTTATGGAATTGTTACTTATGATGAGAATAATAATATTTAAAGTTCGAGTTCAATGAAATTTGTAAATTGCAAGTATTATACACAACTGAATTGCAAAATTTGTTACTACGTAATTTTTTTTTTTACAAAACTTTAAATTTGCAAATCGCAAATTTGTTATACACTTGCAACGGCTAATATTTACAAACTTATTTTAAATGATTTTAATTTTCTTGATAGTTAGTCAACGTTCAGTTCATGACTTTATATTGTTATATTAGTTGTGTTATGCGGAGTATATATGCATGCAATGCAGTGGTTGGAGAAGACAAGGAGGAAAGCTCTTTATGCTTCTCTGGAAAAGATAAAGGAAGGTCAGTAACATATGCAATAATAGGCTAAGTTTGTTTGATTAGTGAAATTATTCCACAACTTTCCTTATCTACTTTTTGTGCAATATACTTCTCTTTAAATAAATTGCCTAAACTTATACATGCATAGACCAAGTTCACATACATGGTTAAATATGTTAATTGCCTAAAATATGAAATATTTAGTTTCTATAATAGAATAAATGAAATCAAAACTTGTCAATTTAATGAAAAGTAAATGCCTCATGCTCTTGAAAATATGGTGATCCTATTTTAAAACAATGCATGATGTATGGGTTCTAGAAATACTCTATTTCTCTAATACGATTATATATGTACAACAACTCATTTCATGATTTTTGTGAAGAAATATATTTTCCACACAAAACATGTTCTTATGAGTCTTATGGGTTTTTGGAATTGATTCCACTTTTACTTCTTTTTTAAAACTAGAAGTAAAATCAGAATTAGAATCAATTTCAGTTTTTTAGAAGTTATTGGTCTCCCTCAGCTTCTAAGAAACTACTTATAAGAGCAATTTGAACTACTTAAAGTATATATGCACTTTCACTCAAACATTTTAATATTTGCCTGTGCTCTCTGAAGGTGCATGAACATTTTTGAGAAATATATCTAAACTCCATTAGAACAGAAAATAGCTTTACACAATATCAAATTGGTTATTATTATTAGCTTTAATACGTACGGTGGCCTTTAAATCTAACCAAAGTAGTATTATGGGACAGAGCTCATGTTGCTAGGCCTAATATCTTTGTTGTTGGGGCAATGGGCAAGATGGATTACTCAAATTTGTGTGAGCTCCTCCCTCTACAACAGTAAATTCTACATCTGCTCACAAGAGGATTATAGTTCCTCCCAAAGAATGCATTTCCAAGATTCATCTATGGTAATGGTATCATCAAATCACACTGAGGATATTCATCCCCATACAATTAGGCATTCACCCCATCATTTTCAATGTGGAGAGGTATTAATTTACACTTTACATACTCCCTAGTTAGTAAAATTTATGATTTTATGACAACATTCTTTTACTCGACCTCTCTGTCCTGATTTATTGGTCTCAATATTTTTATTCAATTTTGAGAACAACCATTAGTGTGATCAAGTAAAACTCTCTCATTAAACTACCTAAAAATAACTATAAAATGGCATTCATTCAACGATTAGTAGTATGCAAGTCCGTCTCAAAATGTATGAGAGCTTTGTGTTAATTACTACAAAGTATTACTAGGCCAAAATGTAGATTTCACAATTGTAGTTAACAATTCCATTTTAATAACGTACATATAAATATTACTCTACCATTTAATGTTTTGTATGAAAAAACTATAATAGGAATCCTTAATCAAATAAAAAAGGATTTTGTATATTATGTAGAGAATACTAAAAAATTTGGGCCTCCTGAATCGAGAGACCTTGTGCGGTAGCACTTCTTGCACGCCCTAATCTAAGGCCCCGACTAAAACCTAGATAAAACGCACAAATAGGACTAACTATGTTTTTTATTACGTAGTATATTTTACTAGCTATTTTGATCTTATTAAAAGTACACTAACTCTCTCATTTAGGGGTAAATGAACCTTATTCCAATTTTAGGAAACTATGATGGCAGTCGTATTTGTACACTTCGACTAAGTTTTAATCCTATGTACTAGTTAATAATGTAAGGCAAGTGAAAAGGCATAGGTTGACTGGTAAATGTAGTAACCAAGTCACCAAGACATGTGAAATGTGATTATGTGAACATGGGTAATACGTCACAATTTATTAAGGAACTAGTTTAATTTCTTACAATTGATAGCTGTTATGCACTAGTTAATCAATTGAGTTGAATCTTTTGCTCTTTTAATGCGCTTTCACTAATGTGAATTACTACAACGTAATTTAGTGATTTAACCCAAATATGAATACAAATTGTATCAATATCAGGGTCGGGAACCTTTTATTTCTACAGAGGGTCTTGAGCAGCTTCACCGTTTCTTGTTCGTTCTTGCCATAACTCATGTTCTCTATAGTTTCATAGCTGTGGGCTTGTCAATGAGCAAGGTTTGCTTTCACCTCATTTCAAGTTTATTAGCTCAACAATTGGGGTAGTTAGATGGACGGAAGGTTGTTTTCTATTGATTTAGTTGTAAATTTTATATAAATGTAGATCTACAGTTGGAAGAAATGGGAAAATCAAGTGAGCATTGGGGCTGAGTCTAACAACTTACCAGGTATCCAAATCAAGAGCAATGCTATTTACTTGCCAGTTAATTCCTTTTAAGAATGTTTGTCAAGCTAAGATTAATGTAATAAGACTTGGGATACAATCCTATAATAAGAGTAGCCCATGGTTTTATATGTCAATTTGTATCCTAAATCCTTAAAAATTTGCTAGTCTGTGTGATATGACTTAACATAATACTCGTATGAGGTAATTTGAGTTCGCACCCCAACCCCGTATGAAAAGACAAAAATGCCCCTTGATCAAGAACATATTGAAGACCAACAAAATTGTTGATGGATGAGCATTTTTGTCTTTTCATATGGGGTTGGGGACTACTTGGGGTGCAGCAACAAAGACTTTTAAAGATAGGATGTAAAGTCCAATTTGAACAATAATATGAGATGCAAACTCAGATCATTCCATGTTTAATGTCTCACACTAGTTTAGAACACTACTTTTTGTAGTGAATGTGATTAACAAGAATTGTTTGGGGTAACCAAGTTTTCCAGCTCAGCTGGTTGTGAGGTTACCGTCCTAGTGGGAGGTCTCGAGTTTGAGACCCGCTAGGCACATAAGGCTTTGAAACTCAATGGAGTGAGTTTCAGTCTTGATTACTCCAGGCTCCCCCCTCCCCCTCCCCTTGACCCCCGAAGTAAAAAAAAAAAAAAGGAATTGTTTGGGATCTTAAGGCATAGAAACACGGTTCTTAAGTTTCATCAAGATTTTTAACTTATTCCCCTACAAGAATTCTTGTAATTGACGTTGTTAAAGTATCCTTGAAAAATTAGCCTTACTTTGGCCATCAAGATAGACTTCCACACCATATTATTTATTGTCTGGATGGAATCATGGAACTCTATTATGGTTTAAGACTTTAAGGTTGATATTCATATTTCAGGTCTTATACTACGTATATCATTAGAAGTATATTACGGAGTATAAATTTGAAAGGGGCTTCATTGTCTTTGTCTCCCTTCATGCTAGCTTTCTCAATTTTGAATAAATGTACCACTCTTTTATTGTTCATATATTGACTAACTTTTAGCAGCAAAGTGTAAGGTGATGAGGCGACAATCCACTTTTGCTCTAAATCACACATTACATCCATGGGCTAGAAGTCCAATTTTAATTTGGATGGTAATTCTTCCCAATTACCTCTTTATTTCTTGATTTTCATCTCTGCCCATTTAAGGGTGTTTTTAGTTGGACTGTAATTTGTTGGTCTGGTCTGAACTGATCTGGTCTAGTCTGGTAGTGTCTGGTTTCTTTGTATTCTTATAACTATTCAAGTATGGTCTGAACGGGTCTGGTGTGATCTGGGACGAATTACAGTCCAAATACAAACATACTAAGACATAATGATCCCAATTTATACTCTTCAAATCAATTTTCCATTTCACCATTTGTATTTTTGTGTCAAGCCTCCACATAGCTAAATACAATATACGTACAAACACTTATATTTGTTGGACCGTCGTTGACTTATCTTTCTATTAAGATGGTCTTGTAAGATAAAATCTCAAATGTTAATGTGGTATTTCAGTTATTTGAACTATATCAATAAATTCTATTACAAAGTGACTTGTTCACGTAGATTTATTTTAGTCCTAGACTAGACCCAACCCAAACAATTAAACTACATCAAAGTTGCATTAAACAATAGTATAACTCACATGTTAGACATTGAGCTATTTCATTCACAAAGTTCACCTTATCATTACATTGCAGCTTTGCTTTCTACGACAGTTCAGGAGTAGTTCCATTCTGAAGTCAGATTACTTGGCACTGCGTTTGGGTTTTATTAATGTATGAAAACTTGCTCTCTTAAACCCTGTTTTACAATTCAATATAAGAATAAAGAGGAACAACATATTATGAATAGTTAGCAATGAAGAAAGGGAGGAATGTGATTTTGATTTATAATTTTGCAGAATCATAAACTTCCGCTCTCCTATAATTTCCACAAATACATAATTCGTAGCATGGAAGATGAATTTTATGAAATGGTCGGGATCAGGTATACATGCACATATTTTCTAGGTAGACTACTCAAGAGAGCAAGCCCATATGGCCATATGTTATACTCCGTATGTTTTACGATAACCGTACCACGTTTACAACACTATTATAAATCCAAATTGAAAGAAATCTAACTATGGGAGAAAACAATGTTTTGTTTTTCCGAAAAATAAGAAATTAAAGAAAAAATTGGCCGAAGGAACTGGAAAAGGAACTGACACAAGTTCACTTAAAGCATGTGCAACGCACACTATCCTCAAAACTAATTCATTGTCTCTCACGGTGCTAGGAGCGTTGCAGTGTCAGTTTCTCAGGATACGATGACTAACGAACAACCGTATTGAGCACTCAATAGGTCGCTCCGGCGAACTGGAACAAAGGGTAGAAATCGGGAAGTTTTATCGAAAGTTTGGCAGAGTTTTTCTTTCGAGAAGACTATGCAACTAGAGTTTTGTGTGCTCAATCGTTTTGAGTAGTTGTTGTGAATCCAAAAATCCGCTGCCAAGATTTTATAGGGGAGGAGGAGCCTTAGTATTAAATATGCATTCAACACCACACTTATTGTGTGAAACCGCCCATTAAACACACACTTATTGTGTTGTAATGGTTTTGAACGTTTCAGGCCATATATTAACCATGTAATTAAACTATATTTTAATCACATTTTACAGTTTCTAAACGTTAGGCAACATTCAAAACTCTAGCAGTACGAAGAGAGGTTATAACGACTGTTAACCGACGGTAGTTCTACGTTAGTTCTACCTTCGGAAATTTTCAACTTCTCCATCTCAACAAGTGAACTTTGAGAATCAATTTCTCATTCACCCATTATCCATTTTGATTGTACCAAATATCGAATTGAACCCCTTACACAAAGAAGAATCTGAAACCACTTTGACCAGATCCAAATCGGAAGTGGACCCCACTCAAAATAATGCCCAAAAATAGCCATTTAATGCAAATTTCAAAATAATTGTCCAACACTAACAACATATAAGAGTTGGTGTATGGTTTTTAACCTTAAAACCCAAAAGATAATATTATGAAGGTTTTATTTTAATTTATATAGTGGGTGATTTGTGGCTAATCTTTTGGATGTGAAATATTTTCCTGTCCTTGGCTTTTGCAGTTGGCCACTATGGGGTTATGCTATCATTTGCATGTTTGTGAATATCCATGGTAAGGGCTTTTTTAGTTCATTCTATAATGTGAACCTACCACGAGGAAATATTTTTATACTTTTGAGCAAATCAGGCTTGAAAGTATATTTTTTATTCTTTGTGGGATCGAGTTGCTCAGCTGAGCACAATGGGTCCTAAAACCATATTATGTATTTTTTTTATATTTGACTTTTGTGAAGTGGATGTAAATATGCTATTATATATAAAGCTTCAAATCTTTCTCTGATATATGATGCAGGTCTTAATATCTATTTATGGCTTTCTTTTATACCGATCACTGTAAGTCTTTATCTTACGTGATAACTTTGTGCTAGCGTACTTAAAACATCAACACATTTTTTATACGTTTAATGCTATAAAACATTTATTATGTTCAAGATTGTCATGGTGATTGGGACAAAACTTCAACATGTTATGTCCTTGTTAGCACTTGAAATTGCTGAACCAAAGGTTCCAGTAATTGTTGGAACTCAAGTAGAGCCACACGATGGACTTTTTTGGTTCGGAAAACCAGAAATCTTGCTACGCTTAATTCAATTTGTATCATTTCAGGTAGTGTATTATATACTATACGTTGTTTACAATATTTTGTTGTTATCATTACTCTGTATTATTGTCATTGCTATACAATATAAGTTTCTAAAGGAGTTATGATTTATAATTTGAAATTTTAAATGTCAAATTATGAAACTTTACTCTAGAGGACAAATCATATCAGGCCGGCCTGACGGCGGTCAGTGGAATTTGAGGTGCTTCTCAGTGGAATTTTTAATTTCTATGATTTTTTTTGAGCATGTTCTTCAACAAATCTAGTTTATTCATACCAAATTTCAGCAAAAAACTCAATCGAGAAGGCTGTAAAATAAATTCTTTACAAAAACTGTGCTTTATATATAAATAGCGCAGTTTTCTTCAACAATTTATTTGACTGCCTTTCAATTGAATTTTAGCTGAAATTTGGTATGAATAAACAAGAATTTATGAAGAACATGCCTAAAAGAAATCATCGAAAAATTCTACCAGCTGAAAAGGCCTTTGATGGCCTCGGCCGAACGACGAATCCTGTTAGGATCGCTACTCCGGCCTTGACTCTATATCTTTATCTTTATATATATAAAGAGAACATGGTGGAGATCCAAATAGAAATCTATTTGGAGCCAAAAGAAGTGAAAAGTTGTGGTCACTATTAATGAAGCATTACTTAATGAAGTCATATTAAGTCCCAACCTAATTAATTGTTGTAAGTTATAAATAAAATTTTAGAAAATTATCGTCACTATTAATGAAGCATTACTTAGTGAAGCCATATTAACTGCCAACCTAATTAATTGTTGTAAGTTATAAATAAAACTTTAGAAAATTATATTGAGCATAAATACATTAAATATTAAAAAAATATTAAAAGATGCATACACATAATTAATTAAGAGACATAATATAATAAAGTTAAAAATAAAATGATCTAATTTCAGAATATAAAATAGAGTATTACAATATATTTGGATACAAATATTATGTAAAGGACAATGATAATACTCATACCCCCATTAAATGTGTCCAAAATTGACTTGCATGCCACTACAAAAAAAATACGGGATTGGCACGGAAATTTGGCATGGATTACCGATTTTTCGTGCCAAATATAATAGCTCGTGCCAAATTTTTTTGGCACGGATTTAGCATAATCCCTGCCAATCCCGCGTTTTTTTGTAGTGTGCGGAATATAAATAAGGGAAATTTACTAAAATATGACTAAAACTCGATGAGTTTCTCAATCTATGACCTAACTAGTTTTTAGACCTTTATATGACCGAAAATCCAAAAAAAAAAAGAAATATCGTTTTTATTGAAATGTTGAATGACGAAAATACCCTTATTTAAAATATGTGCATTTTGCACTAATATTCTCCAATTAAAATTATTGCAATTTTTTTTTGTCGTTACTGCACCACATTAATGCACTAATTTACTGCACATCCAGTAATAATCACTGCACTTCCGTCAAAATTAATTCTTTTCTTATTCACTTGAACAATTTTTTTTAGTTTTTTAGATTTAATAATTTTATTATTTTATGCGTAATTAATTATAGTGCATTTCATGAAGATATTATTGCTCTGCGTTATTGCAATAATGGTCATAATCACTGCACTGCACGTACAACAAAATTTCTTAATACATTCATTCACTGTCATGTCCAAAATGTCTATTACCATATATATTCATTGCTCATAATCAACACTTATTGTCATGTTCACTGCCAATGTTCAATGCCGTGTTTAATGCTCATAAACGCTAAATTCAACACACTTTCTTGAGAACATCTTATCTAAACAACAAGAATAGTGAACTTGTGAAACAAAGTCGCTCAATTCGGAATTGAGAAAATGAATTATTGAAGGAGACTCGAAAACAAGAAAAGTAATTCATTTAGGAGCCAATTTTATGAATATAGATAATATAGAGTATAAGATATAATATTATGCAAAAATAGCATAAATCGATCGAAAAGTGGCTCCTACTATCTGCTACGCTGCTACGCTTAGGGGTGGTTCGGTACGGTATACCGAATATTTTAGCTCATACCTTTACCATACCGTAAATTTTCGGTATGCAAAAATACATACCGTTACCATACCGAAATTTCGGTATACCTTGTTTCGGTATACCGAAATTTCGGTACGGTAAGGTACGGTATCGATAAATTATCATGATTTAACATAACAAATTATTATATGTCAAATAAAATATAGAAAATATGTGTTAATAATGATATACTAAAATCATTAATGAAATTAATTGTAAATTACCAATGATAACCTATTGGTGTTCTATTCAACTTTGAACAAAAATTATTATAAATATATTTAGATATTTCGACACATAATATATGAAGATAACATCACATTCTGCTAAAATAATTTAAACAACATAAATATAATTAAAAAAACACCGCTTGCCAACAAAAAGTATAAATAGTTCAAGAAACATGGATATAAAGTCATTTATCCTTGAATTAATGTTGTGTTTCTAGTTATTTTTATAATTTTAAAGAAATTATTGGCTTGGAATTACAGTATGACGGTATACCGGTATACTGTTTATTTTCAAAATATATACCGATACCATACCGAAGTAATTCAGTACGGTATCATACGGTACCGAAAGTGTCGGTATACCAACCATTTCGGTAAATACGGTATTTTTCGATATAGTAAGTCCGGTATACCGAAATTTCGGTATTTTTCCCCACCCCTAGCTACGCTACATCAGGAAGGGAAGAGCCTAAATCGACCCCTGCTCTTCTTTTAAAATAAGTTTTACGGAGTAGCTTTTTTTCCCTTAAGGGTAGGAATGTAGGATTCCAAAATTGAAGATTGATAAATCTCGTGCTTTCGAGTGGGACCAGAGGTTGAGACAGGGGAGGCTAGCGGAGGCCTTGCCTCCTGCAAGAAAACGTTTGTGATGTATATACATATGTATAAATATTTATAAGTAGTAAAAAATATAGTGAAAATTTAAGTTTTGGCCCTGGCTATATAAATTCATTAAACCCCGGCCCATGTAACCTGACATTCCTGGCCCCACCACTGAGTGGGACGGCGATGAGAATGGAGGACTTTGAAGACGTAGATGAAGCTCCATGACGATCTGCGTGGCTCGTTTACCATGCCTCGTTTTCCAGATCTGGACGGCGGCACAAGGATCTGCACGACTCGTTTGGCATGCTCTGGGACGACGACTTTACCAGGCCGGAGTTCTGTGGAAGGAGGCGGTGCTGGACGGTGGGCGGCGGTCAGACGGCTGGGCGGCTGCGTGGGTGAACGTAGGAGATTGTGGTTAGGGTTGAAGAAAATGAAGAGGAGGTTAGAGTTTTATAGATATAACACAAAGTATATATTTGTCCATAAAAATTATTTATTATTTATTAATTATGAATATTAATTAAATATTATGAATAATAGTATTATTTTGGGGAAAAACTAGTTAAGTCATAGATTGGGAAACTCATCGAGTTTTAGTCATATCTGGGATAATTATTTCTATAAATAAAGTAAAAAATACTTTGTATGTGATTGAGATTTTTACAAATCAATTGAGAAAAATAATTTACCTACACCTTTATTATTTTAAATGGAAATGACAATTTTGTTGGGGCAGCTGCAAAAATAAAGTTAGCACAATTTAACGAGATGAGGGAATAATTGTGTTTTATAATTAGCTGCAACATAAAATACAAAAATTCATTCATTTAATTCTACTATAACTATTCATTAGTAAATAAGTAACTATTTTAAAAATCCGTTGAAATCAAAATTTTAAATAATGGTTCCCAATTTTGAAATGATTTTTAGCATTTCCAATTTTGTTTACGAGTCAAATTGGTTGAATGATATTGATCTGAATTATACAATTTTACTATTCAACTCGCGATTTTAACAACATTGATATGTAGTTCTTATAAAACATATAGTGATTTTAACAATCTTGATCTGTAGCTTTTATAAAACATATATTGAGATGAATGAAGAGATATTATGGATTATAAAATAAATATTTTTACTTTTTAGATGGAATATATTTAGAAACTTTAAAACACGACAAAATAGTAAAAAGTAATGTCATGTGTTGAATAATCATCATAATTATAACTAAACAATACTAGGTATGAGATTGTAATATGATAACAATTGTTATCACCTTCATTAGACAAGATATGCATGTTAGGGATGAAAGAATACTTATTTGGTAGTTTTATACTAATTGACTAATTAGTATACATGTTCTCCGTGCAACGCACGGGCAGATTGACTAGTCTCATAATAAAAGCTTATAGTAGCATTTTAAAACATTTTTTATGAAGATCGATCCTCATGACTCACGAGGTGTGCGGTTTCCAGGAGTGTTGAGTTTCAAACTAAATTTCATATTCAATTTATTAGCGAGACTGGTTTTGGAGAGTAGTAATAATATATTTTTGAGAGGTATTGGGTATGTTTGGCAAATGACTGTTAGCTGTTGTTGTTATCTGGTTGTGCCAGTTGTTTCCTAACAGCTGGTTGTGTTAGCTGTTTTGACCGGCTGGTTATGTTAGCTGATTATAGATAACTGTTTGGTAAAATTGGTTGTTTCGAAATGGCTGATAGAGTGTAAATTGAACTAGCCGAATGAAGAAGCTGCTCCCCTTAGCTTCTTCAACAATCCATTTTTTCAGCTTTTCAAACTCAACAAGCTAATTTTAAAAGCCATTTACCAAACATCATTATTAGCTTCTTTGACCAATCAAACAGCTGAAATGGGTCAAACAAGCTAAAAGCCGGCTGATAAGCCATTTGCCAAACATACCCATTGGGGGAGGAGAGTTGTTATTGTTATGAGAAATAAATTTGTTTGATGTACATTTCATTTATTTACAAAATACCACATTGATTGCCACTTCTTTAATAATACCACTTTTGAGAGTTTTGCACTTGTGACCGTTGACTATTTTTTTTAATATATTTTTTATTGTCTGAACAGAATGCATTTGAGATGGCGACATTTATCTGGACTTTGGTGAGAGTTTGTAATTTGTAAAATATAATACTATTAAAAATCCATGTTGTTGTAATATTCAAAATTTTCACGTTTGGCAGTGGGGATTCCAACATCAATCTTGCTTCGTGAAAAACCACTCATTGTTATCTCTCCGATTGACTTCAGGGTGCATACACTTACTTTATCAATTTATCGTCACCTTAACTCTTACTCTCTCCGTTCTGCTAAAATTGTCTCATTTTTCCTTTTTGGTTCGTCGTGCTAAGATTCTCCCATACCAAATATAATAATGTATATATTAATTTAAATCGTTATCATTCTATTCTTAATTTATCAATTTAACGGGAAGAAAGTATTACTATCGTATTATTTTGAGTGGATGGTTTAGGATTTGTAGCGTCTAACTAATTGACAAAAATTGGTCAATAGCACAAACTCATGAAAAAGGTAGAGTTTCACACTTTGTTGTCCAACTCTCTGTGTTTAAACTTTGCAAAATGCAGGGTTCTTGTCCAACTATGGTGTAGCTATAGCACTATTCCGTTGAATGTTATCATCTCACAGGTGCGTTAAAATAACACAATGCATTTTCGATGTTTGGATCTAATGAATTCTAAGTCATTACCATATTTGATTTATATATGACTTTCCTATTTCTAATTTTAGTGTATGCTTATGAACTTCTAGTTTTTTTTTTTTTGAGAAAAATAATACGGAGTATGGATAATAAGGTCCATATGACTAGAACGAATACAATATGTCAACACAAGTAGTACTACAAAATTCTAAGAATTCAGAGTCCAGTGACCGTTAGTAAGCAGATATAAGGTACGCAGCATCAATATACCCTTGAACTATATGCCAAAACAAAGATTGATACGCTTCAATATTTTTTGGAATATGATGGGTTTGAACTGCCGATGTAGTAATAAAATACCGGTAAATACCGGGTCGATCAACAGGGAAATGGTTGATATTATAAAGTCAAGTATTGAATGCAAAGAATGTAAATGGTATAGGTTTTCAGGAACTTTGTTCTTTGAGGTTGATTTAAACAAGAATGAGAATTACTAAGGCAATCAGGATTCACCTAAATGCTTTAATAGTTGTTTAAAAATAGTTTTTCCCCAATAATCATGAATACGATGTCGCTAATATATTCTCAACTCCGGTTAAGGCAGCGAGAGCGTGGTTTTCGTTACGTGTAAGTCTCGTTACGGATTACGTTCATCTACCGAAAACCCCATTGAATATCAAGACATCACACCCGTATCATATAAGACTGGATATATTTCTATTCTCGGTACTATATATGTTTATCCTTTAATGTTCATAGTTTAGACTTCAACGTTAATTGCAAGCATAAACTAAATTTAACATACTTCTATGTTGTACACCATAGTCATAAACAATCAAAATATAAAGGATAAATCACAATTTATTGGTTTAGAACTTTTATCAAACACCTAATGGGCATAGAGGTTCATTCCTGGCCTTAGCTAAGAAATTAGCCTCTAATGCTCATATTAATCACAATACAATATTGAAATGTAATAGAACATGAAATTACAAAGAAAATAATACCTAAACACCAATGATTTCGGAGGTTGAAGTTTCCTCCTCAAGAACTTGAAGAAAAAGAGCAAGAACAAATTATAAAGACTAAGAATTAATCTATGGAATAAAATGTGTTTGTTTGATGAATTGGAGGCTTTATATAGGCTAAAAATGGCATCTTTTAGTCTATTCAAGCCCAATAATAAGGTGTGGAACAATATTTGATCAAGAAATGAGGAAGATGGAGTTTTCCCATAAAAAATCCTCTTGCATGTTGGGCTGTTTTGTGCAGAAATCGCCCCCACCGGCGTTGGTTATGTCCCGACCGGCGCCGGTTCAAAACAGGCTCATTTTGCTCGAAAAAATACACATGACCGGCGCCGGTTGTGGGCTGACCGGCGCTGGTCGCTCCGCCAAAAGATGTACTCCCTTTCTCTTCCTCTTTTATGGATCAAAATGTGTCGGTTTTTGTCCCGGGATTTTGGGGATATTCCACTACGAATTTGGACATGATTCCTGCACCAAAGTTGTAGATAATGAAGTCTTTTATCCACCAAAACTTGAATGACGTGATTTTATTCATCCAATCAAAAGATATAAATAAAACATTGAGAGGTATGCATCTAGAATCCCACCAGCAACATCTGACTTTGTTGGTTGATTGAGTCTTGTTCCTTTCATATTTTGGCCATGACGTCTTCACAACATTTGTACCTTATTGAGTTAGCATTCTCATGAAACTCGAATAGAGTGATTTCGAGTTCTATAGAATAAGTTATACTCAAATTATGGGCAGCACATCATTCTCTTGGTCCAAAAAGTCGTTCATCGCAATGTTTTATGCTCTAGCTCTCATTCTGGAGGTATTTGCCCGATTTTTCTTCTTTTCTTCAACAAATACTTATAAATACTTATGTTAAACACAAGTAAATATAATGGCTATCAGAATAAATAAAAATAAAATTTATAATGTAGGATAAATACATCCTCAAACCCAAATAGTTGAGATATTATATTTTTATACATAATTAATCTCTGATGTTTCCAACTTTATAATTTATCTATAAAGTTTTTATACGTATTCCAACTTTATAATTTATCTATACTTGATGGTTCCAAGACAAAAATAAGGTATATATATTAATATATGTCCTCTAGCATATATTTAAATAAAAGATATGACAAGAACTCACAATGTACATGTGGTTTGGACAAATGGTCATGGATCAAGCATTTCCTTGACTAAAACTGGAAATTTTTCTAAAACAATTACTAATTGTTAAATCCTCAGTCTTGTTGATATTGCATTAGGATGATGTTTTAATCTTACCATAAAAGTCATCTACTGTATCTGGGATAAAATCAGATGGGATCTCGGTGCAGAAAGGCTCTCATAGCTGAAAGCGTCCGTGAGTCACTTCAAATGTGGTGCAAGAGAGTTAAACAAAGATCCAAACGTGGCACATTGACTACCACAACATCCGCACATTCATTCCAATCAATAATAAAGGAAGGAGATGAGGCAACCACTATGACATTATCTCCTAGTTCCTCTCTGCAATCCCTAAATGTTATTGATAAGGATGGTTTCACAAATCAACATGGAAATGGAGATTCAGAGATAAGCTATACATGATGATTTCTTACATTTTATAGAGAATGGACAAAATACATGGAAGTCTTTAAGAAATCGAGGAACCTAATTAGGAGTTAAGTTGTTAAATTATGTATCTGTTGAGCATTTTCTAGATCAGATAAGATCTTCTCCGCCAGTACTAAGGGATATCCTCATTCATGAGATTATTAGATGATGATTCTAGTGGCATGCCTGATTATTTTTTCGAGCATGATTGAGTGGGAGGGGTTATTTGATAAACATTCTCAAATCAAAATATGAATCTAGATTATTTGTGAAATTGGATATTACTAGTTAATACAGGACCTGCAAAAGATCAAATTATCCCGAGATGATGATCGATTGATCTCATTAAGAGGATGTGAGATTTTTTATAAAACAATTCCGTGACTATAACAATTCCGTGTCTAGATGAAATGATATCTGAATATTTATTATTTTGTAGGTTGAATAAATAGTCTAAGTTGAGTAAAGTGATCGATTCAATTAAAATTATTTACTAAATGTGTAATGATGTTTATTAACATACATATATTTCATATCTTACATAAAGTATGGATTTGATTGATATTTTTATTGACATCTTAATGTTATGGAATGATAATATATCATGGCTTAATGATTAAGTAATTTACTGAATGAATAAGTAGTATTTTCAATGAATAATTAAATATGATTTAATAGATAAATAATTAAGTCACGGTCCCTAATAAGTCTTTTAAGGATGTTTTTGATTGATCTGAATTTTTATGTGATCTATTTAAGTTTGATCTCGCCAGAACTAGTATAAATGATCGGATAATGGTTTGTTTTTATACGAAGTATACATTTTACTACTGATTAAATTTGATTCGGCCCACTGTGATGTGAATGGTATCAATATGTTTAAAACATCCTAAGTCACAATCAAATAAACAACATTTTCTAGTTTGTTTGACACTAGATTTTCAACCCGAACGTTGCATGAGTATAAAATTATTTCAAAATACAAACTTTTTTCAGATTCCTTTCAACTATTGTGTTTTTAAGGATGTTCAAAACAACTCATAAATTAATATTACACCACACAATAAAATTAAATTTGAGAATAATTATACAAAAGTATTAATACTTTGGTTGTCTTGTTGATCATTGTTAATTTGTTATCACAAATCTATATCATTAGGTGACTTTGAAGTTTGAAGCTAGAATCATTCTACCTATTACTGGTTGGTTCCAAATTGGTATACAAATATTTTGTTAACATACTCACTTATTCATTATTGACAATATGGTGTGAGAATACTGATCAGAATGACTAGACTAGCTCTATGTATTATATACTCTCATCGTTCCGTAAAACTTTGTCATTTTTTCTTTTTGGGACGTCCTAAATATTTTGTCACTCTACTTTTAAAAATTTGTGGTTCCTATTATATTTTTCTCCTCAACAAAAATCTCGATCACATAGTTTTAGTTTATTATTCTTCTTGTCGGACTAACATAGTAATGTTTTAAGAGATGGATGAGTGTAATAAATAGAGTTCCAAATACATTAGAGTTTCTACTAAATATAGAAAACTTATTTTGGGTATTAAGTAAATTATTATTATATGGTATCCTTGTGGTGCCAAACATCTTAAACTTGTTCACATTGATCAATTAAAATTTGGGATAAGAGTCAGTTTGTTCCTCGAAGTTGCAAAAAAGGGGTCAAATAAGTCCTTATAAAGAAGATTCTGTCCGGACGTGCCATTTGAGGCCGCTTCCGGTGGAATTTGTTGATGAATTTTTTTGACCATCTTATTCATTAAGTCTAGTTTACTCATACCAAATTTCAGATAAAAATTCAATCGGGAAGACATTCAAATGATTTCTTGAAGATAACTGTGCCGTTATAAGCGCAATTATCTTCAAGAATTCATTTGAATGTCTTCCCGATTGAATTTTTAGCTTAAATTTGGTATGAGTAAACTAGATTTAATGAATAAGATTCTCAAAAAAATTTATCAAACAAAACCACCGGGAGCCACCTCAAATGGCACGTCCGGACAGAATCTTCTATATAAGGACTTATTTGACCCCTTTTTTGCAACTTTGAAGACCAAACTGACGCTTTACTCATTAAAATTTTACAATTAAATAACTTCAATATAAACCAATTAATAATGAAGTAATAATATAGATCAATATATCCATTGGAGATATGACACCCTCACAAATTACTAAGCTATCGTTTGTGTAAGACTAAGTAGACATTTCTCAACCGGAAGTTAGCAAATATCCTCATTGTTAAATGACATGAAGGGAGTGTTTGCAATTGCTTCAACTTTAAAGAAGTGATTTTTTAAAGTGATTTTGGGAAAATTGATTAATAGTAAAAGTTGGTAGTGTTTGAGGAAAAAGTGATTTTGAAAAAGTAAATGTTGGTAGTGTTTGGTAAAAGAAGTACTTTTTGTGTAATAGAAAAAGTGAAAAGCAGTTTAAAGCACCCTTCCACCTGCTTCCAGCTTTTAGCTTTTAAGTGATTAATTTAAGCAGAAGCTGTCATTTGAAAACACTCTTTTTAACTTTTTTTAAGCCAAAAGCTGAAAAACACTTTTTTTAATCAAATGCAAACACTCCCGAAGGAGTTCTTGGGATCTAAAGTCAGACTAAGTAGACAGAGTTCCATGGGCGTATCATTAATGTGTGTGCCTAACTCAGACAAGATAAAATCAATCACTTCATTGAAGACATCAAAATAATAATGATGTTCTATTGTAGGTTGGAAACGGGAATGCCCAAACGTGTATAGATGATTTAAATTTGGAACATCAATATCATTTGAAGAGCGAAAATTCTTCACTTCTTTAAGATTTTTCCCCAACAAGATGCCCTTAACTCTAAGAGAATGGTTTTGGTAAGACCAACAAATGTAATAGCACTCAAAATATCAAGAATTTTTATTTGAATTACCCGACAAAGAGTCTGAATTGTTCTCATAAGTTTTTGTATCAAGAGTAAGACAAACATGAATTCAAACCTTGCCATTTTTCTTTGTCAGGGTTCTCAATAAGATGTTCATCAAACACATCGCAAGTTGCGGCATATATGTCATGGTTTTAGTGAGAACCCCATTTTAAATGAGAACCCATTTATAAACGAGAACTTCTAATCTACACCCTTGATTAATGAAATCTAGGGTTAGAACTAACAATGTGACATTTTTGTAATAATTCTACAATAATTTCATAAAAGACCCCATTTGAATTTTCAATAATTACAGAAAGTATCCTATGTACATCCTACTAATGATTGAATTATATAAAGGTTGTGAGTAAAAGTTCGCATTATAACAATTCCTCATTTTAAGATGAGTTCTCACTAGAACTCTCCCATATATGAAACTAAATTGTGCATTGGTGAAACTGAAATGTGCATTATGTGAAATTGAAATGTACATAATAAAAAGTAAAGTTCAAATGTGCATTACGTGAAATTGAAATGTCCATAATAAAAGGCACAAAAATGTCACCGCATCATAACTTTTATTTTGCACATTTCAGTTTCACCTAATACACAATCCACTATATAATATGTCTTATCTTTTGTGTTGTACATTTGAATTTTGTCTAATGCACATTTTAATTTTACCTAATGCGCATTCAATCTCACAGAATACAATCTAACAGACCAGATTCATTCTCATTTCTCTCCTGGGATCATTTTCTCATTTGAACCTAATTATATATATATATATATATATATATATATATATATATATATATATATATATAGAGTAATGATCCGGTCAGGAGTTCCTGACCGGAACCGCCGTCCGGACCAAGGCGTTTGGCCGCCTTCCCGGTGGCTTTTTTTGATGAAATTTTTATGACATGTTCTCCATCAAGTCTAGTTTATCCACAAAAAAATTCAGCCAAAAACTCAACCGGGAAGGTCGTCAAATGATTTTTGCAAGTTAACTGGTCCGGAAAACGTAGTACATTTTCCGGACCAGTTAACTTGCAAAAATCATTTGACGACCTTCCCGGTTGAGTTTTTGGCTGAATTTTTTTGTGGATAAACTAGACTTGATGGAGAACATGTCATAAAAATTTCATCAAAAAAAGCCACCGGGAAGGCGGCCAAACGCCTTGGTCCGGACGGCGGTTCCGGTCAGGAGCTCCTGACCTGAACATTTGTGTGTGTATATATATATATATATATATATATATATATATATATATATGTATCAAACTCTTCACGGAGCTATATTGAGAACTCCAACCAGTACTCCCTGATATTTGCAAATTACCAATTTGATTTGCACCACATCTCAAACCACACTCTCTATAGTCAATAACTTCTCAATTCCACTTATTTGAGACACATGCAACTCTGGTACCCACTCCAGCGAAGAAGTGATAGTATTGACAATATTATCCACGCGAGAAAGAAATTCCCAAATTAGTAACACCCTTAGTTGCAAAAACCAAATTATATGCATGTTTCACCTCATCTCTCACAACGACATGATATTTATGGATTTGCTTTCCTTTTCTTAACAAGCGAAATATTTATGTTGAAGTTTTGTCACCTTTATCACCATTACTGTATGATTGGGGTGTTTGGCAATTAGCGATGGTTTTTAGCTAATAACCAATTCTATCAGTGAATTAATTGATGTCAACACATTCTGTTAGTTCTTTTTTACTAGCGGCCGGTATCATTAGCGCATTTAAGCAAAATGTTTGATAACTTAGCTTAACTATTCACGATTATCTATTAAGACGTAAAATGACTATTAAAGATATGGATAAAAAATAAATATGAATTTAACATATCTTTTTATGGAGTTTTTTTTAAATAAGTACATTAACTATTATTTTATATAATCACTATTAATTATTTTTAATATGCAAAGTATATACGTGCATACACAAATACCTACACGTTCTAAAATAGTACTCCGTACCATACAAATTCATTTATTTTTAAATATGACTATATATTTTAGTAATTTAAGAAATAATACTATAAAATAGAAATTATATTCATGATAATATTTAATATTTATTAGTGTTATTACAGTGTCATAATTATTTTTATTTTATTTAATTTTTGAATAATTATTGAATAATCAATAAATCGCCGGGCTAAAATGGGAGGACATATTAGACTTTTAAATCATAATATCAAAAAGCCATTATTATAAGAAATCTATTCAAAGGCTCAACGATGTTTTCTCATTTGTCACTTTTTCGTAAGAAACAACGCGCCAAATGAAAACACTT